GTTGTCTGTGTTAAAAATATATGTGTGTGCATTTAATATTTAGTGTGCTTATGATTAAGATATTTCTTTGTTCTTTTAGGTTGTCTGTGTTAAAAATATATGTGTGTGCATTTAATATTTAGTGTGCTTATGATTAAGATATTTCTTTGTTCTTTTAAGTGTCTGTGTTAAAAATATATATACACACACATACATACATATATAGTTGAAATGATACAGAAATACACACACACATATGTGTTAAAGGATAATAAAAACAGTTTAAAGACTAAAGTGCATCTGATCCAAGCTATGATCTTTTTAATTGTTCTACATCTGAAAGTTGGATAAAGACAAAGGATGTCAGAAGAAGATTTGATGCCTTTGAGTTGTGATATTGAAGCATACTATATATATTTACACATGTACACACACACACACACACACACACACACACACAGAGCAATTGCTCCCAAATATTTGGTCAAATTTTTATCATTGACTTACGATTCACAGATTATGAGAATACATTTAACCCAAAACAACAAAAATTAAAACATGATCAGCTATCACCAATGCTAACAAAGGTAATTGCAGCTAGGAGTCTATTCTGTGATAAGTACTATAGCGAGTGTGTTGGTTTTACCTCTACACAGGACACTTGCTAAAATGTATTTTTCCCCTATAACTGAAATTGGTATACTTAATACTACCATAAAAACTGAAATGTAATTAATACTGTATTATTTTATATTAATATAATGAACATTATAATTAAATGTATATTGCTTTCAGGTGTGAACAAAAGAATTTTTAATAACCTAAAAGCCATACCTTCTGCCGTATGCAGAGCCTGATGCTTCACGGCACTGCACTGTGTTTGGGAAGCTGTGAATTGTTGTTAGGAGAGGATCCTCTATCTTTCTCGCACGGCTGACGGATTTGAACCACCCATCTTCCTGTTAGTAATTAGACACATTACACAGTATGCCACCAGGGCTTCTTAACAAATTTATAAAATCCTCTAGATTTGCTGGTAACACTATAGGAGGAAATAGTCAATATAGAAGGTATGTGTTATTTTTATCAACTGTTTTAAAAAGTCTAGTGTCTTTGCTCTTTTAATTGCACGTGAAATGCAAGTAGGTAATTGTGTTTTTTTTCTTTCTTAGGCCTGAAAAGAGATGAATTTGGATTCCATTCACCGATTCATTGCAGAAGCTCAAAGTTTCCAGATGCAACAGTCATCACTGAAATCAGCTTGTGACACTCTGGTGCCTGCTTCTCCCCCCGGGGAGACCTGCCACTCCTCTTTGCCACTTCATGGGTTTGGGTCTCAGACCACGCAGAATGCCTGTGCCCACTCACACAGCACCAGTGAATGGGACCTCAGCAAAGAGCTTCGCCTGAGGGAGCTTGAAGAAGTCAAGGCCAGAGCTGCTCAGATGGAAAAAACCATGCGATGGTGGTCAGACTGCACTGCCAACTGGAGAGAGAAATGGAGCAAGGTTCGAGCAGAAAGGAACAGTGCCAGAGAGGAAGGGAGACAGCTCAGGCTCAAGTTAGAGATGACAACGAAAGAACTGAGCGCACTGAAGAAGAAGCAGAGATGCCTGCAGGACAGAGAGGCATCAGAAGTTCAAGTCAGCCAGGATCTGAAGCGGTCTGCTTTTTCAGAAGACCAATGTCTAGCTGATCCTCAAACAAGAGAGTGTTTGGTAAAAACGCAAACTTTTGCAAAAGAAAATGCAAATAGAAAGGTAAGAAATAAGAAAGAGAAAATCCACAATGGGATCTAGAGACTATGTGACCATTTTGACTGTGTGTGTAGTGATTGGAAAGAGACCTAGTGGTGCAATGATTAAGTACTGCGTTGCTAACTGAAACGTCGATGTAGGAATTCTCCATTGGTCTCTCTATAAGAAGTTCTGGTGGCTTAATCCTAAGAGATTGCACTACCAAAACAAAGGAGCAAAGTTTGAATCTACTAGCTGCTCTGTGAGAGAAAACTGGGCAATCTCCTCCTGTATGATTTACCGTCGCTGAAAACCCACTGTAGGGTCAGCTGTGGGTTGGCTCTGATTCAGAGGCATTCAGGAGGAGTAGGGCCTGTTAACTCACTCTCACGGAGATCACAGCCCTGGAAACCCCACAAGGTAGTACTCCTCTGTCCGGAAGTGTCGTTAGGAGTCAGAAACACTCCAAGCAGTGTTTCTTGTGTGTTTATAATGACAGGGAAGCAGGGACAGGTAACATGGAATGGTGAGCATACCAGCACTTCCTGCAAAAATGAGGCCAGCATGTTTTTTTAAGAAAATATTTGGAGATATTACTCTTTTTTGTCTTACTATATCTTGTAAGTAATCTTTAAAATAGTTTTACTTCTCCCAAGATGTAGCTGTCTGGTCTGACAATTAACTCCCAGAAAAATGAATTCACACAGAAATACTTCTAGAAAATATTTCATACTTCATACTCTTGGAATTTTCTGCTTCAGTTTAGAATCTTGAAGTTTCTGAAAATTCTCTAAATTATTTAACTTTATTTAATCTGGCAGTCCATATATAATTATTCGGATTTATTCATCTCTCTCTTTAAAAAAAAAACAAAACACAAACAGTAACAGCACAACAAAGCAAAACCCAAAACAATAAACAACCAAAAAACTGGTAACTACAATTAACGTACCATGTAAAATAATTGGAGAAAGTTTAGAAAATCATATTATAGCCTCTTAGAGTTTCCCTTTATATTGTTAACCTTTTCTATTTAATCTCATCTTTAAAAATATGAAATGAGGCCTTGCACTTCTACAGTGCTATCCATATATATTTTTTTTCTCTGTAGGAAATGTTGACCATTGACATTTTTGTGGGTTTAATGTAAATTCTAAAGTAAAAGGAAAAATTTAAAAATATTGTAGCAACAAAATGTCTTCTGCTTATTTGGCCAGTTTGCTTTTGTGTGTGTATGATTATATACGTTGCTTATTCATTTTCTGGTGCTGGTTTTTTTCAGTCTTGAGAGTCTTAACATCTGTATTTCCTTTACATACATCCTTGGCTAAATGTTACATATTGCCAAAATTCAGTTGTTTTAAATTTTATGTATTTTAATTCAGTGGATAGGATAAGGAAGTGATGTTAATACAGTATGTATTGATTTTTTTACATTGTTATTAATTTACTGATATTTCTTTTTAAATTAATTTTAATGAACATTTACAGAGATTTTTTATTTCCATTCGTTCATTGCTGCACTTTTCTCCCTGCCCACCCCTCCCCTCCAGTTCGTTCCTCTCTTTGAAAAGAAAAAAAATTCCTTCATTGGTATACAATGTATTTAATTTTTTTTAAAAAAAGTATTTATTATTTATCAGTTGATTTGGTTGTGTAATGTGTTAGACTCCTAACAGAAAGACTGACAGTTCAAATCCACCAATGATTTCTTGGGACAAAGATGAGGAGTCTCCTCCTGTAAATACATACAGCCTTGGAAATCCTAATAGAGTCAGAGTTCACCCAAAGACAATGGGTTTGAGACAACACGTTTGGAAATGGAAAAGATTTTCCTCACATTTGCTATGAGGGAAAAGTTTCAGTATCTTGGGACATAATTTGGAATACCTTGTATAGTATCCATGTCAAGTACAAACCATGTATAAATCAAATGAAAACCCACCTCTGCAGAGTTGCATACATTGGAATCCTGTTGGGCAGGGCACCATTTCCTACAGCATTTCCCAGGTTATAAAGCTTTAAGGAGCCAAAGACTAGACCATTTTCCTGTGGAGTGGCTGGTGGATTTAAACCACTGATCTTTCATTTAGCAGTCTATGATGTCAAGGCTTTAGTTTTCCAAATGGCTACTTATAAACCTTTGCAATCCCGAGACTCCACCCTACTAAAGCTAAACTGGTTGATCGAAATATTGATATTATGTTTAATTGGGGAATACTCCCTCTACCAGCTATTGTAAATGAAGGGTGAAGTCCGAGGCTAGTATTGATTGGGCACACTTAATGGGAACCGTTAGAACTGCCAGCACCTGCCCATGTGACCAATGTGTAGTGCTGTAGAATACCTGGTGGCCAGAAAGAAAAGAGTGCTTTGATAAAGGCCTTTCCAAGGCTGGAGTGAGGCATGGTGTAAATTGCCACCCTTGGTCCCCTGCGGGCCCTGGTGTGTGCCCCAGTGCTGGGCAGCTCTCCTTCTTTCCTTGCTTGAAGTAGCCTCACCTGAGCCAGCTCCTAACCCTGCTTGACCCCATCAACAGCTGCGTGAGCTCCTGGAGGATCTTCCCGCAAATTACTGAGCCCAAAAAACACAGACAGGGGGTTGGGAGGAGGAACAGTCAATGTGGAAAATGATGGCTTGGATTAACAGATTAAATTTTGGAACATTGTTGACTTCCACCTTCTTATAGTTAATATGGTCCTAAATTTTTGTGTAGATGAGAAAGAATTGCAAGCTGTTTTGTAGTTGGGTTTGTCCTGACTTTTGTGATGCTCAGAATTCTAAATAAGACATGACCTCACACTTAATACATGGAGCTACTAAAACTCCAAATCATATATACTTGCTGCCTTCAGATAAATTCCTACTCATGGCTCCATCTACCAGGTTCTCATTGTCAGTCTCTATAGGAGGAGATTGCCAATCCTTTTAATGAGGGTCAGCTGATGGACCTTAACCACTGACCTTTTGGTTAACGGCATAATACATAGTGCAGCATGCCACAGACACGCAAAAGACCTCATTACTGTTGCATCTGACCCACAGCTCATCCTTCACTGAGTTCCTGGGGCTGCAGATCTCATCAGGGAAGCTCATCTTCGTAACCTTGAACCACGACAAAGGCACAGCCTTTGGGTTGGCATATAGCTTCCTACTGACCACCTAGCCAGCACTTCTTAGACCATTCCTGGTTGGTTGTGTGTGTAGTTGATCAGAACCCACTCATAGCTGGCCCTCCCATGGGTTACCAGAGGCAGGAAATCCCACAGGCGCAGACGGCCTATCCTTCTGTGAACCAGCTTGTGGATTTGAACCATGTGCCTTTGGGAAGACACACAGCTTCTAACTGCTGCGCCACCAGAGGTTTTTATTAATTGTTTAGGAAATGTCTCTTACGGTGAAAAGGTGGAGGGATGATGAAAAAGAGGAAGACTGTCAGCCAAGTGGGTTGGACCAGTGACTGTGGCAATGGGCTCGGATATGTCAGAGAGTGTGATAGGACAGGGTTCAATCTGTTCAGAGGGTTACTGTTAATCTTACTAGACTCAGCACCTGACACCCTAACAATGATATTTTATGATGGTGGGGAAATTATTGTTGTTATGTGCCATCGAATCCTCTGCGACTCATAGCAACCCTATGTCCAACAGCTCTGAGCCCCATCCTGTCCTGAGCTAGTCTCACTGACTCCAACACAACTAATCCCATTGCCCCAGTTATTGTGTCAATTAGTATTGATGTTTTTATGAAGCTATAATCAGTTATTTTTGTTGGACTACATTCCCCTGCCAACTCCAGAATAATTAGAGAGGTATTTGTGGATGTAAGTAGTCTGTTTGGCCACAACCCGTTCATGTAGAACTTCAGATGTTTTATTTTTGTAAAAAATAGTGCACACAATATAAATACTGACAAGTTGATTGTCCATCCTTCTCTCACAGAACAGCTGGTGGATTTGAGCCATGTGCCTTTGAGATTGCAACACACCTTCTTACCACTAGGCCACCAGAGAAAAGAAAGGGGTGAATAAGAAAATGCTATCTTAAGGTTTTGGAATGACGATGTAAGATGGCTGAAACAGTATGTTTTCTGGTCTTCGGTGTTCATATTTATTCAAAGTTACAGTCAAATTTCATTTGAGATTCAACTAGTGAACTTGGACAGTTAAATATGTATGCCTGTTAAAATATTCAAGTTCCCTGAAAGTACTTTATACCTTTCCCTTCAAAGATGTTAAAAAAGTAATAATTTTATTCCACTTTGAAACTTGTGACAAAATTTGAAAGGGCAATTCAACTCATTAAGTCAATCTTGACTGCCTGCAAGTTTATAGGCAGTAGGATTCAGCTCTAGTTAGAAAAAGAAAACTTAAACTAAAATTAATCCAGAAGGCCTTGGGCATCACCTCCATTAGAATCAGATACAACAAGGAAAAGAAATCAATTTGAAGCAACATGCAGTCAAGGTTTGACCCTGAAGCATTGTTTGGTGTTGAGTAGACAACAATTCATATTAATCCTGTGAACAGTAGGTCAGAACTTAGCCCTATAAATAAGGATTGGATCTAAATAAAGATATTACTTTCTTTTCTAACTACACTTCCTTTTAATTTTTCTTCAAAATTCACCAGTAATATATTGCATACATGTTTCATTCCTTTCAGGAAGAAGATGAGATTATTGATCCATTAAGATTAAACAAAAATCGCAAACTCCACCTTGATAGCTCTGACTCATTCAGTCAGGAGAGTCCCGGAGGCTCTGCTATGAAGGTGGAGTTAAGCCTGCACTCAATGGACTCATGTTTGGAGGACAAAGGACCTCAAGTGTCAGCTGTGCGAGTCCCTTCAGATGATGTGAGCACAATCTTGCGGAAGGAAAGAGAGTAAGTGGCAAACATTGTTCCCCTTCACAAAGCCCACTTGTCAAACTTTATGAAAGTGTTAAGCCTGATGAAATAACAGTTATTTGCGGAGGTATTTTACTTACGAAAAGTCACTAGCTCTCAGACTTTAAAACAGAATCTAACACACATTTACTTTTGCTTTTGAAAAATAATTTATAGCTTGATAGTTTTTATCTTTCTTTTTACATAACTTTTAGATAACTGCGTTCTTATCTCTGGCATGTTCAACTTAATTCTATTAAGTCTATTTAAGAAGTAATTATATTTCATCAGTAATTATTATATTATTATGTCATACACAATAATATTTTTATATGTTCATTATATGAAATATTTTTCAATTTCTATCTGTATTAATTTTTTAATCTATATCCAAGCTCTTGCGGCCCAGTGGTAAGAAGCTGTGCTGCAATCTTGAATGTGTGAGGTTTGAAACCACTGGCTGTTCCATGGGAGAAGGATGGGTAATTTCTCCCAAGTGAAAACCCACTGTAGAATCAGCTATGGATTGGTTCCGACTCTACAGCACAACAACAACAACAAAATAACTTATCTGTATTTACTGAATTTATTTAAATAGGCAAGTGAAGTTTAATATAAACTTAAGTTTTGTATTATATATGTAATTTTCAATGCATATGATTAAAATATCAAATGCATTATCTAGTTTTCTCAAGATTCTTGGATTTAAATAAAACCCTGAAATTGAACAACTACAATTATTGGGGTGGATAATTCCCACTGCCAGGAATGATGGATCATTAGGATTTCTACTAACTTCTGTCATCTGAAATTGATCAAATATGAAATCAAGATGTTTTAAAAAGAATTAGTACTGGAATACACAAGTTGGAGGCAAAGAATGACGGACAGAAAATTGGAGTGTGATGACTGAATTGAGGGCAGAGATCATGTGGTAAAATTTTGTACAATTAATGATGCATTCATTGCTAATACCACTTGCTTTGCATCAGAGATCTGGACAATAACTACAGATGACAGAAGAAGAATCTACACCTTTGAGCTGTGATGCTGGAGAAAAGTATTGAACATACACTCGACTGACAAAAGAACGAACAGGTCTGTTCTACAGAGGGTGAAACCAAGTTGCTCCCTGGAGGCAAGGATTCTGAAGCTCTGTCTAACATATTTTGGGCATGTTGCCACGAGGGACCAGTTCTTGGAGAAGGAAACAATGATTGAAAGGGTGGAGGGACAGTGCAGGAGATGAAGACTCAAGATGAGGTAGATTGACATCATAGTAACTGCAGTTATAGGGAGAGACCTGTTGGAGGCAGTAAGACTGGCTCAGGATAAGATAGTATTCAGAGCTATTATGCGTTGGGTGCTATGAGTCAAAGTCTGCTTGATGGCACACAACACCATGAAAAACGTAAATGGCATCAATAAATCTGGACCTCACCTGATGGAATACACATGAATCAAATTGATTATATCTGTGGAAGTAGACTATGAAAAACCTCAATATCACCAGTCAAAATAAGGTCAGGGGATGACTTATGAATAGACCATCAATTACTTATATTTAAGCTTAATCTGAAATTTAAGAAAATTAAAACAAATTCATGGAAACCAAATTATGACCTTGAGTTTACCGCACCTGAATAAATAAAAAACTCTTTGAAGAATAGATTTCATTCATTGAACTTTAATTAACAAAGGCACATGGTATTGAAGGAAGATTACCAGACTTCGTGGAAGATATTTGCAAAATAAAAGGCCCAGGAATTGATGGAATACCAGTTAAAGTGTTCCACCAAACAGATGCAGCCTGGAGCATCCTTATAAGTTGATACCCAGAAATCTGGAAGGCTCTAGTCTGAGTAATCAGTAACTAGAGGAGATGCATATTTGTTCCTATTTAAAAAAAAATGGTGAACTAACAGAGTGTAGAAATTAGCAATTAACTGAAATAGAGGTAGACATACATTAACTTGGGTGAAGGAGTAGGCAATCAATGCACAACGGGGTGATCAATAGGAAATGATCAAGGCAGAGGAAGACCCTGGGAGGAATACAGGAGTGAGAGGCCACAGAAATATGTATAGAAGCATTTTGTTGTGTGCTTTTGAGTTGGAACTAACCCACAGCTGACCATCCAGAGGGTTTTCAGAGACATCAAATCACATGGGAGAAGATTGTTCATCTTTTTCTTATGGAGCAGCTGGTAGATTTGAACTACATGCTTTTTGGGATTGTAGCTTAGCTTCTTTCTACTAGGCCACCAGAGCTCATTTATGGATATATGTTTGGCAGAGTGTTATTTATAGTATATGTTCTTACGTCTGTTGCAAGTATATCTGTAAATATAAGAGAGCATCGAGCATACAGGGTGCGACAATATGAACACTTCTTAATCATAACCAAAAAGAAACGCCTTGAAGGAAAGAATTCCTGAACTTAGGGATTCTGGAGCTTTGTTTCAGGGAACATACAGGTCAATTGGCACAACATAACCCACAGAGACGATATTCTGCTTCCTACTTCTGTCAGCCCCAGCTGACATCTTCAAAGCTGGTGGACGTCATCAAAGGCGCAACTACTGAGCTCTCCTTCTCTGGAGCAAAGAGTGAAGAAAAGAAAAGATGCATGAAAAGAATTAGTTCAAAGGACTAATAATCCCACATGCCTTAGAACCTCTAGGACCCTGAGACCAGAAGAGCTGGATGGAACCTGGCTACTACTACTGGCCACAGTGAAATGGACCCCACACAAGGTCCCAGCCAGAGTGAGGAACATGTCGAACAAAACTGAACATCAGAAACAAGACTAAGTTTGCTGGCCAGATAGAGACTGGGCAAGCCTGTGAGGCTGTGGTCCTCACTCCAGACTTCAAGCTTGGACTGGACTTACTGCCATGGACCAATTTTCAGCCAAAATATAGGGGCTGAACAGCCACACTCAAGGGAGATCACATTCCTGAGAACAACTAGCCACTGCGATCAAACGGTAAAGCTGTTTTGTTTCTATTTCCAGGAATAGATGTGAAAGAGGGAGGAACAAAAGGAGAACAAGAAGGGGAAGTGGCAGGAGGGATGGCACAGGATGGGGACTGGAGGAAGTGGCATGAAACAAAAAGATATGAGCTGTTGAATGGAAATCAGAATTGTCTGTGAGCCTACCCACCAAATCCCAATAGGAATGATGGTGATGGAAGGACGTTTAGGAGCGAGGGACTGTGGCGGCCACCTTTGGACATAACAGTCGGCCACAGTCTTCTCTTCAGAACACTTACAAGGCTCGATTGTAATGTTCGTGCATGTGGCTGGTAACAGAAATGCAATACATTTGCACAGGATGCAAGAACCCAAGATGCTCTTGCTCAAAATATTCAATATGTTCATTGTTTCCTCATGGCCAGCTTATAAAAAGGATTAACTTTGTGTGAAGTATTTGTTGTATTTTAAAATGTGGTCCCCAAATCTGAAAAGAATTAATTGTCACATGTCTTTGGTTATGAGACTCTTGACTGGCATAATCAGAAAAATGAGAGAATAAATTACATAAAATATGTGAATATATGTATAGTTAATAAGATAGTTTAAATTGTGTCCTGGCTCCATGCATTTTCGATCTGTTGGTGGAATAGATCATTCAGGGGCCTCAACTTTACTTGGATGAGTGTGGCATCAGGACTGGAGGAAGATTCATCAACAATCTGCATTATGCAGATGAAACAACCTTGCTTGCTGAAACTGAGGAGGACCTGAACCTTTTGCTATAGAAAGTCAAGCATAGTCTTCAAATGGATTGAAGTTTAACATAAAAAGTCAAAGATTCTCACCACTAGGCCAATTGGCAGCACCGTGATGGATGGAGAAGACATTGAGGTTGTTAATAGTAATCTTATCTCGCTCGACTCCACAATCAACACTCTGACATCAGCAGTCAGAAATCAAAAGATGAATCGCATTGGGAATGTCTCCTGTTAGGGACTGCTTCAAAGTGCAAAAGAGCAATGACATTCGTCTAGAGACTAAGGTGAGCCTGATCCAGGCCATCATCTTCACAACTGCTGTGCATCAGAGAGCTGGACAATGACTAAAGATGATAGAAGATGAATTGATGCCTTTGAGCTGTGGTGTTGGAGTAAAGTATTGAGCATACCATGGACCACCAGGAAAATAATGAAATCTGTTTTGGAGAGGGTGAATTCAAGTTTCTCCTTGGAGGAAGGATTTTGAAGCTCCATCTCACATAGTTTGGGGCACATGGCCAGCAGGGATCAGTCCTTGAAGGACATCATGCTTGAAAGGGTAGAGGACATCCCAGGAGAGGAAGGCCCTGGATGAGGTGTATTCATTTAATAATGGGATTAAGTGTGTCGGAGTCAGTGAGACTGGCTCAGGATAGGGCATGGTTCAGGCCTAATGTACATAGGATCATTGTGAGTCGCAGGTGACTTGATGGCACATAACAACAACAATAGCTTTAAATAGACTTAAAAAGCTAAACATTACCTAAAGCCTTTTGCAAGTACCCTAAGTCCTTCATCAGCCATTTCCCTGGAGTCAGCTAAGAGTTTCTTATTATCCCTGTGAAATGTGTGAGTTCCATTCATTCCCTTCTTAGGATCCATTGTCTGGACCTCTCCAAACTGGGAGACTCTAGTGATACCTGAACAGAATAAAGATACACATAATGATACAAAAATAATGTGCACAGAAGAAACAGCCTTTTAGTGTCAAGCGTAAGTCCTTAACAGAGTCAATCAATATAGTGTAAAATGGAATGGAAATAGAGTTAATTTTCAGGCCAATTGTTGTTGCTGGGTGCCGTTGAGTCAACTCTGGCTCATAGAATCCTTGTGTTTATTTGGCTGAAATTCTGCGTAGACTGGACTCTCCTCACAACCATTACTGTGTTGTAGTCCAATGTTACAGCCTCTATGTCTGTAGATCTCTGTAGTAGAAACTCTATGAACTTTGATAAATGTCAGTAGTTGTACAGGCTTCAGG